GTATATACCACAACCACATACATGTACCCCCCCAAAAAAAAATTAAAGCCAACACAAACAGTACTTACTTGGTATTTTTCCAGGTTTTTCTGATAAAAAGAGAATACATGTTATGTTTTACTAACATAATAAAGCAAGGAATTTGTGGCATGGATCAATGGCCTATGTTACCGTATCAAATATTTTTGGGTCCCTTGCCTACTGAATTAGAGTTAATAGGCAAATACAGCTCTTCATTGCCTGGGAACATGTTTCTTTGAGTAACTCAGTTTTTTATTTTTTTTAATATAGAAGAAAGTATGTATGCTATCCAATAAGATATTCCTCATCTCAGATTTCATATAATTTGATTTTTTACTAAAACCAGCAGGATCTTAAAAAAATTATTTTGTTTCAACTGTAATTCTTGATAACTTGAGCAAGATTGCTTTGCATGATGTAATTTATGTACACTCTTCACAATTTCTAAACTACACAAAATATATTGAGCACTATTATCCTTTCAAAGATGAATACAGACAAGTGACTGCCAATTACATTAATAAACTAAAGACTCTGTAAATGCATTATACAAACCAGATTTCTCTTCAGCAAGTGATGATTATATGTAATAGAGCATTTCATTAACTATATGTTTCTAACATAAAATAAACAGTGAAATGATTATTCAAAATGCCAGGAGATAGGCTATTGCTATTTTCCTTTTATAAAAGGAGATGTATCATAGCTGCCTTCTATCACCATTTAGTAAATTTAAATGTTCAGGCTTCAAAACACAAATTTAGCAGAATCTGCATTATGGTGATATACTTTGAGATCTGTAGTTTATACTGTAGAGTTTAGAACTACAATGTCACAAAATACAGTTTTTAAAGAAAATAATTTGAGTCAGCAGACTTTTGTTTCGAAGATTGTTGCAGATAAAACATTTAAACAGAAAAATCACAAAACTAAATAGCTTTAAATTCTTCACTAATAATTCTCTTATTTTAAAAATGCTGGCATGATTAAGAAGGCAGAACCTGCTGAGGAACCAAGTGGAATCCAAGATATATGTTACAATAAGCAACATAGAGAGTCGGTGGAAAACAGGGCTGGCTCTCCTCTCAATGAGAATCTACCTGTTTACCACGCAGGAAGATAATTGGCTTTAGTTGTGCTTCTCCACTATCTTAGTTGAACTGGCCAAAAAATATGTCACCTTTACCAAATAATTAATTAATTAACAGTTTATTTGTGATTTTGTAATATCACCCAAACACATAATTTTATTTTAAAGGACAATAAGTGTCAGCATGAAATTGTCCCATTTTTATGCTGACAATTCCAGTTTATTGCCCTGGTTAAGTTGGTTTTAAAAGTCAATTTATAAATAAAATCTGTTCATGATGCTAATTTTATTCAGGCATAAATAAAATAAATCTCAGTTGAAATTGTTTTAAAAATATTATAGTATATAAAATTTGATATTATTTATGTAGCTAAAGGTTTTGTAGTAGAGAATTTTTATCTCTGGCATGACTAATATATTTCATTAATAATATTTTTTTCATATTTCATAAGTTTTTCTTAAAATATTTTCTTTTGGATAGATTTTCTGTTTGTGTTCTCTCTCATACATAAGCAGAAAAGCATCACTACAAAACTTCTTTTTAAAAAAATTATTCGTGTTAATAGTGATAGAGTTGAGTACTATATGAATTTCCATAGCAACAGAGAATATGAATATTCATAAAATTAATTTACCTTTAGTAACATTGTGAACCTGAAGATGTTCTTGTCTTGTTGGAACTGTTTATTAAAAATGTATATTAAGATGTGAGATTTTAAAGTAACTTCACATTAAATATTAAATTTCTGAGCATGGAATAACTTACAGCATTATAACTAGTTTCTCAAGGTAATTTTCAACAATTTAATTTTATATTGCATTAAAACCTAACAAGAATAAGTGGTAACAAAAGTATTGTTTTACTATTATAAAGAGATACAATAGTAATACAATGATTTGAAGGATTAGTATCCATGAAAAACAGGTCACCCATTTCACTCAAATTTGAATAAACAAAACCAGTCATTGTTATTATGGCTAATAACAATGGCTATTATTATGGCTAATCATGTTTTCTTTCCGGTCTGGTCTATATTCTTTAGATAATTAAGGCCTCTTCATGTTTTCCATGATTACACTAAAATCAGTCCTGCCTGTATGATATTACATAGCTTACTAATGGAAACCAAATTGTATGGAGAAGGGAGCATATATAAAGTTTCCCAATTGTCTTCCATTGACAAAATAAATGAATGCTTAGTTTTGACCACTACTCTTTCATTCATTAATCTTTTGACAGTGCCATCAGTACATACTCACCAGTGATTTCTTTCAATCAAAACAATATCTTTAATATTCACATATTAAATTTTACTTAATGCCATGAAAAATTATAACTCAAATTATTTTGGCTTCAAATTTTTGTCTTATTTTTATCTCTTCCTGAAAATATATATATTTATCTTGAGTAAAAATATAGGTATATTAAATAAATGATTTTATTTATATAACTTAATAATTTGTGATGAATTTGTGTCATCAATATCCACAATTCAAGAGTTATTTGTAAGACTCTTTCTCAGGCCCTCCGTGGTAGGCTCCTGTCCTGTTCCCTGTCTTCTTCTGCTTCCAATGTCTATAGCATTTGCCATCCTGAATGAGGATTGAGCATCTTCCCTAGGATCTTCCTTGTTGTCTGACTTTTCTAGGACTATAGATTTTAGTAGGTTTATCCTATATTGTATGTCTAATAGCCACACATGAGTGAGTATATACCATGAATGAAGCAGAGGCTGAGACTCATAGCCAAACTTTGGGCAGAGTGCATGGAATTTTATGAAAAAAGGGGGAGATAAAAAGACCTGGAGGGACAGGAGCGCCAAAAGGAGACCAACAGAACAAACAAACAAACAAACAAACAAACAAAAAACAAACCTGGGCCCTGGGAGCCCTGCAGAGACTGATATACTCCAACCAAGGACCATGCATGGAGAGGACCTAAAACCCCTGCTAAGATGTAGCCCTTAGACTCAGTCTCCAAGTGAGTTCCCTAATGAGGGGATCAGGGGCTATCTCTGTCATGAACTCAGTGACAGGCTCTCTTATCACATCCCCTTGGGGGGGAGGATGGTGCAGCCTCTACAGGCCACAGAGGAAGACAATGCAGCCAGTTCTGATGAGACCTGATAGGCTAGGGTTGAATAGAAAGGGAGGAGGACCTTCCCTATCAGTGGACTAGGGGAAGGAATAGGGGGAGAAAACGGAGGGAGGGTGGCATTGAGGAGCAGACAAGGGAGGAGGCCACAGCCAGAATACAAAGTGAATAAATTGTAATAAAATTTAAAAAGGGTCATATGCACTTATAAGTGAATATTTACTATGTGTGACTTTCTGCTTCTGGAATACCTCACTAAAGATGATCTTTTCTAGTTCTCACCATTTGCCTGAAAATTTCATGATTTCTTTGTTTTTAATTGCTGAGTAGTATTCCACTGTGTAAATGCATCACAGTTTGTGTATCCATTCCCATATTGAGGGAACATCTGGGTTGTTTCCAAATTCTGACTATTATGAACATGGCTGAACAAATGTCCTTGCTGTATACTTGAACATATTTTGGATATATGTGTAGAAGTCTTGGATGGTGAGGTAGTGCTATTCTTAATTCTGAGAAAGTGCCAAACTGATTCCCAAAGTTATTGTACAAGTTTACATTCCCACCAGCAGTGGAAGAAAGTTCCTCTTTCTCCACAGCCTCTCCAGCATGTGTTGTCACTTGAGTTTTTGATCTTAGCTGTTCTGATTGGTTTAGGGTGGTATCTGAGGGTCGTTTGATTTGCATTTCCCTGATGACTAAGGACATAGAGCATTCCTTTAAGTGTTTCTCTGCCATTCAATATTCCTTTATTGAGAATTCTCTGTTTAGCTCTGTACCCCATTTTTTAATTGGATTACTTGGTTTGTTGGTGTTTAACTTCTTGAGTTCTTTATATATTCTGGATATTAGCCCTCTGTCAGATATATTAGACATATAATATAGGATAAATATACTAAAACCTGTACACCTAAAGAAGCTAAGTGTGAAGGAGGACCCTGGGTAAGATGATCAATCCTCATACAGAAAGGCAAATGAGATGGACATTGGAAGAGGGAGAAAACAGAGAACAGGACAGGACCCTACTACAGAGGGCCTCTGAAAGATTCTACCCAGTAGGGTATCAAAGAAGATGTTGAGCCTCATAGCCAAACTTTGGGCAGAGTGCAGGGAATCTTATGAAAGAAGGGGGAGATAGAAATACCTGGAAGGGACAGGAGCTGTACAAAAAGAGCCAGCAAATCAAAAAATCTGGGCCCAGGGGTCTTTTCTGAGACTGATACTCCAACTAAGGACCATGCATGGAGATAAAGTAGAACTCCTGCACAGATGTAGCCCATGGCAGCTCAGTGTCCAAGTGAGTATCCTAGTAAGAGGAACAGGGGCTCTCTCTGACATGAACTCAGTGGCTGGTGTTTTGATCACTTCCTACTGAGGGGGGAGCAGCCTTCCCAGACCACAGAGGAAGACAATGCAGCCAGTCCTGATGAGACCTAATAGGCTAGGGTAAGATGGAAGGGGAAGAAGCCCTCCCCTATCAGTGGACTTGGGGAGGGACATGGGAGAAGTTGAGGGAGGGAGGGTGAGATTGGAAAGGGGTGAGGAAGAGGGCTACAGCTGGGATACAATGTGAATAAACTGTAATTAATAAAAATAAATTAATTTAAAATATTAAAAATAAAAAGTCATATTATGGAGTTTATTTATCATTAGCAGGTAAAAATTGCTTCAGAGTATAAATTTCTATTCTCTTCAGATATAATAACAACCATGTGAAGCCTGTACCTTTTAAATGTTGAAGTGATATTCTGATATTACCTATAATTCTAGCATCTTCATTTTCATAAATGGCTTTTATTGTTTCTTATTGCTCATGAGACATAAATGCATAAATTTGTTATGTTTACCTTTACTTTCCTTTTCAGATTTTTCAAATTTTTTCTTTCCTAGGGAGATAAAACAACATGAAACAATTCATTTCTGAGACAATGTTTTCATTCAGTCTTGGACACTAGAGATTGGACTTGAACCCATGAGGAAGCATGAGTGATTGGGGCTGTCCCATTTTAAGGTCTGAAGGGACATTCTTTGTATGAGATGAAATGTGCTGCTTGTATAGTGCTCTTGCTTTTCCTCTGACGTATTTTGAAAAACAAGACTATGACACTACAGAGAGAAAATCAAAATAGAAACAAAAATATCTGAAGTTTCATTGTCACTGCATAATTAGGATTTGACACTGTGCAGTAGTTTCTCAAACTAGTGAGTGTAAACACTGAAAAAGTACTTGGGATGGCTAAACCGTGGAAGCAGACTAGCAAATCAAAGTTTTGATTGACTGATGGTTTCTTTTTTTAATGGTTTCATTATTATTATTTATTACAATTTATTCACTTTGCATCCCTGCTGTAGCTGCCTCCCTCATCTCTTCCCAGTCCCATCCTTCCTCCCTCTTCCCTTCTATGTCCCGATGTCCCTCCTCTAGTCCACTGATAGGAAGGTTTTCTTTTTAGTGTGTGTTTTTTTAGAGATGACTAAGAAATAATGACAGAAAACTGAATATGGATGAAAATGTGAAGTCTTTTCTGCTCCCTCTTACAATGGGTTTGGGAAGTCTTGAGCTTGTCTCCAGATGAGAATTTGAGCATTTGGGCAACTTTTTATGCCTGTTAATAGTACTCAGTTAGAGAAAGATCCAGGTTACAACTGTTTTGCACAATCCAATTATACTTCCTTTCAGAAACAAAATGCTTACCTGAGTCTACGACTTCTGATGTTTCCTCTTTAGAAGAAAAAAGTTAAAAAAAGAAGAAAAATAGGTGATGTTTATTTCAGCAGATAATTGAACTTTATTTTCAGATATTCTTACTAAATTATAATAGACTATAATGTTCAAATGACAGAAATATTCTGTTAACTAGTACTTCTAAACTGTGATGAGCCATCTACTCTGAAAGTGGATTTATGGTACAAAGTAATTTAAAAACATCCAATATGATACAAATAAATTATAAACCATATAAAATCACAATATAAACCATAAAACTCTCCTGCATCCACATTTAACTTGATCTCATAGAAGCTTGCATTATTCATTGACTTTTATTAAATATCCATATATAAAATTCTGTGCCATGGGCAATGAATGGGGGTTTATGAAAGTCAGTGAAAACTATAGCAGCAAACTGACTTAGCTTCTACTGATATGAAATGACATTTAGCTTTAGTTAGGACAATACTTAAACAGTTCTTTCCCTCCTTTGGTTATTTCACAAAACAATAATATTCTAAATGTTACTCAGCATGTTTTACTATCCTTAAATTTTGCAAGAAAATATCAATATTTACTGAAATGTAAACCTCTCAAATTTGAAAACACACCTCTTAAAACAGCAATTAATTAATGGAAAAATGTTATAGTTAATAATCTATATTTTACAAATTCTGGGAGTTATTCTATAGTTTATTTTGTGATAATGACTATAATATGTGAATAATGTTTCATAAACAAAATAATATTTTCATATGGCAAGCATTCTATTTTAACTTGAAACTCTTCATTTTGGTAGTATTCTTTACATCAGCAGCGATAAAACGAGCTAAACATGGCAACAATTTTCTCCAATGCAAGGGCAATATTTTATGTTTAAGTTTGGCACTAGATCTCTTCAGAGAAAATTATAGCTGCACCTTTTAAAGAATGCCACCACACTGTTAAGGAAGCAGTTAGTACTTGGCATTTAAAACATTTAAAGTGAGCTCCCTCTCTGCCTGCATTCCCTCAGGATTCTCTGGAACCCTGTAGTGGAGCCAACCTTCCCTCTCACCCCATCTGTTTGTGTCGGCAAGCCAGTTCTTGGAGGCAGTCTCTACCTGGGAACCCACTGGCCAGCAGGCATGACAATCAGGTAGGTAACCTACACTTTCCTTCCTGTCCTCTGTTCCCACTTGCCCAGTCTGACCTGCAGCCTGTAACAGATCACTTGCACAAACCTGTTTTCCCTCTTCACCTCCATTACCTGTATGACTAGGCAGAACCAGCTTTGCTCCTCCTGGTGGATCATTTCAGGGCCTATATCAAGCCCTCCATTCATTCTTTCTTGTCATCCCTAAAATGCTTCCTAATGTACCTGAGACTCCAAGGGGCCACAATTAACAAGGACTCAGAAGCACTCCCTACCAGGTAACCTACACCCACCACATAGAGGGCAACAGAAGCCAAGAAATCGTACACCTTCCTCAAAAAGACAAGATCAGATGTTAACTCCTAGAATCATAATCATCATAGTTGAAGATGTCTCGACACCAGTACAGAATATAAGCATTAACACCCAAGGCAGTATGTCTCCACCAGAACCCAGCAACTGCTAACAGACTCTACTGAACAGACTCTGGAAATGTACTGTAATGGAAGCACAAGACACTGGCTTTAAAACGCCTATGATGATTATGTCCAAGGCTCTTAAAAGAGGATATGAATAAGACCATTAATAAAATGTATGAAAACACTAACAGAAAGTGGAGTGAAATAATAAAACAAGTTCAAGAAATGAAAGTGAAAATAGAACCACTAAGGAAAACTCAAACTGAAATAAAACTGGAAAGGAAATTTGAAGAAGGAGAAAACAGGAAACAGGACAGGAGCCTACCACAGAGGGCCTCTAAAAGACTCTATCCAGAATTATCAAAGCAGATACTGAGACTCATAAACAAACATTGGGCAGAGTGCATGGAATCTTAGGAAAGAAGGGGAAGATAGTAAAACCTGGAGAGGAAAGGAGCTCCACTAATAGAGCAACTGAACCAAAATATCTGGGCACAGGGGTCTTTTCTCAGACTGATACTCCAACCAAGGACTGTTCATGGATATAACCTAGAACCCCTGCTCAGATGTAGGCCATGGCAGCTCAGTATCAAAGAGGGTTTCCTAGTAAGGGGAACAGGGACTGTCTCTGACATGAACTCAGTTCCTAGCTCTTTAACTGCCTCCCCTTGATGGGGGAGCCTCCTTGCCAGGCCACAGAGGAGGACATTGCAGCCAGTCCTGATGAGATTGGATAAGCTAGAGTCAGATGGAAGGGGAGGAGGACCTCCCCTACCAGTGGACTTGGAGAGGGGCATAGGAGGAGATAAGGAAGGGAGGTTAGGATTGGGAGGGGAGGAGGGGGGTTACAGCTGGGATACAAAGTGAATAAACTATAGTTAAAGTTAAAAAATTAAAATTTAATAAAAAATTAGGAAGTAAAACAAAAACCTCAATGGTGAAACTCACTATGCTTCTACAAATAAGGAAGAGAGAATCTCAGGCACTGAAGGTGAGATAGAAGAAATAGACAACTTGGGAGAAAAAAAAAGTAAACCTAAAAATATTTTTTAAATTATCCAGGCACAAAATATTCAGGAAATCTGGGTAGTTATGAAATGTCCAAATATATGAAAAATAATAAAAGAACTAATAGAGGAAGGAGAAGGAACTCAGGTCAAAGGCATAGAAAATACTATCTTTTCTTTTTATCTTATTAACTATTAAAAATAGATTGGCAGCTCAGTGTCCATGTACGTTCCCTAGTAAGGAGAACAAGAGGTGTCTCTGACATGAACTCAGTGGCTGGCTCTTTGATCACATCCCCTTGAGGGGGGAGCAGCCTTTTGCCCGCAAGGAAGATGATCCAACCAGTTCTGACGAGACCTGATAGGCTAGGGTCAGATGGAAGGGAGGAGGACCTCCCCTATGAGTGGACTAGGAGAGAGGCATGGGAGGAGATGAGGGAGGGAAGGTGGGATTAGGAAGGGGCGAGGGAGGGGGCTACAGCTGGGATACAAAGTGAATAAATTGTAATTAATAAAAAATAAATTAATTTAAAAAATAGACTGTTTTCAGCCAGGTGCAATAAGGCACACCTGTAGTCTCTGTACTCTGGGAGGCAGAGTCAGGTGGATCTCTGTGGGCCAACCTGCTCTACAAATCGAGTCCAGGACAGCATAAGCTACACAGAGAAACCCTGTCTTGAAAAACTGAACAACTCACTACTGAATAAAAAGGTGCTCAACACAGAAATTAAAAGGGAAATTAAAAACTGTTTGCAATTGATTCATATGAAGATACAACATACCCAAATTTATGGACCACAATGAAGGTGGACAAAATAAATAAAACAAGTGACAGCTCATTCCAGAATAACCAAGATCAAATGCTGATGAGGATGTGGGAAAAAGTGAACACTCATCTATTCGTTGTGGGAATACAAATCCATATATCCGCTATGGAAATCTGTGTGGCAGTTCCTCAGGAAGCTGAGAACAGATCTACCTCAAAATCCAGCTACATCCAAAAGTCTACATCCTACTACAGAGACAATTGCTCATCCATATTCGTTGCTGCTCTAGTCATAATACCCAGAAGCTAGAAACAACCTATATGTCCACCAGTGGATAAATAGGTAAAGAAAATGTGGTACATTCACACAATAGAATATTACTAAGCCATTAAAAATAGTGATATTTGCAGTTGAATGGATGTAGCTAGAACAAATTCTGAGTGAAGTAACTAAGACCTTGAAAGACAGATATGGTGTGAATTCTCTTATATGTGGATATTAGCTGTTAGGTCTTCAATTATCAGGCTACATTCCATAAAACCATAGAGGACATTTATGGAGTCTGGGTTTATGGTGGAGGGATGGCTTTTCTGAGGAAGGAAAATAGAGCATATAGTTTGGATAGGTGGTGGCAGGGAGCCCCAAATAGAAATTTAAATGGAGAAGGAGAAGCAAGAGGGGAATAATGGATAAATTATAGGAAGGGAGAGCTAACACTAGGTACCATTTGAGGAGTCATATGGAATCGTACTATGTCGAAGCCTCTTTAAAGAAATCTAGTATAATTACCACATACAGGGACAAACAAGCCCCGATTCAACATCTCTTGCTGTCAGGAGGGTGCTGGAAATAGAACCTGGGTTCTCTGGAAGAACAGCCGGTATTGGCTGGTGAAACATCTCTTCAGCTACACTACTGTTTCCTGCCTCCATGTATCATTCCGTGAAGAAAGTCTGAGCGACATTTTAGGCGTTCCTCATATATTCTAATTTAGTTCATTGGGCATAACCAAAGGCACACATTCTCAGAGGTTAACAAATACCAGTAGCACATACCAGTATCTTCTGTCAATCAAAGTCTGTTATATAAATAATAGTATAATCATCTTTATATGAATAAACCTATTTTTAAAATTTAATTTATCACTTATTGAGGTTGTAAAACTAAAATCTCATAATAGGACATTCTTTTAAAAAATGTTTATTAGTAGGGTGTGAGAGGGGTGTGTGTGTGTGTGTGTGTGTGTGTGTGTGTGTGTGTGTGTGTGTATGAATGTGTTGTGAGGGTGAAAGTGTGTGTACAAGTGCTATCATGCATGGATATAGGTTAGAGAACAGCACTGTGGACTCTGGTTTCTGCCCACCTTTAACTGGGTAGAGGGCATTGAACAAGGCTGTTGCAGCATATGTTTCTACCCCGTGAATCACCTCGCTACCCCATATCCTTAAAGTTCTAAATGGTCTACTTACTTGAAGATGGCTTGAGCTTATCTAAAAGGATAAAAAACACAAGTAAAAGATTTCTATCTACATTTAGCATGCTAACTCTGTATCTTCTATTTTGCTCTTACAGTTAAATGGGAAAAATTAAGTATACATTAAAATAAGTAACAGAGGAGTATTTCATATTTTCCAATAGGTTTCTATAGAATATATGGAAATTTGGGAGTGTTGAGCTTTTTGGTTTACTCTTTATCTGCAAAATTTCAGCTTTTATCCACTAAGAGATGAATACTTAACCTAAACTGTTTTGTCTTTATGAGCTTTACAGAATCAAAATTCTGCCACTGTCTTTTCTAAAAACCCATTAATATTCACTAATAATTTGAATTCTCCAAGGTATGGATGAAAAGTGACATAAAATGTCACAAAGAATAAATTTACGGTTAATAAAAATCTCCACTTTATAAGTACATTTCTCCTTCTCCAATATAGCATGCCTTCTGAAATTATTAAAACATTTTCCAGTCCTATATATAAGCTTTCTTTATTCATAAACAAATAATATTCCATCATGATTTGGTGTATTGTGGGTGGTAACAGGATGTATAGAGAAGAGAGGAGAAGGGCGATTTTTCAGTTAGTATCCCCGACATCACACCACTTAGGCCATAGAAAGCTGTGCGTACCACGAAGCTGAGTACTATCTTAAAATAACAAGCTAATTCTTTACAGATTTCTATGAATTTATTTTAAGAAAATATAATTCTCGTCGAAGTCCTCAATCAGTCAAATTTAACATCTAATTTTAAATAATATTATAAAACCATATGAAGGGATTCTAACTCACGAGTATGATAAACGACAATAATATTAACCTTGCTAAATAGCAAAATTATGGAAAGAACTTGTAAATCGTAAAAGCAAACACAGTTTGATAGCTTTTCTGTGTCATGTAGCATGCTTTGGTAATCTTATTTTGATTGCCTCTAATATCATAGCTTTACTGTCAGATAAGACAGATTATCGCACAAAACCCCAAGCAGAACAGTACTGATCAACAAAGCGAAAAATGCCTGCTTCATCTTTTTAATGCTCAAATTCAATAAGCATGATGAAAAAGACAGCGTGTAAGCCGAAAGGGCCAAGAATACCTGTTTTTATAGACTGGCGCTCTTTCTCTTGATGTTCAGCTTTTTCTGGAGAGAAAAAAAATAACAATTTACAGGAGATGTGAATATGCTTGCAGCAGGGAGTGTGTCACATTTCGTGTGATCCTCCCTTGCACAGGAAGCATGCTCCTAAAACCATTTCCATGCAACCTGTAACGCGGGAAGTGCATTGTCAAAGACTATATTATAAGCAGGGTTAAATTCCTTCTCAGGGGACCCTGAGGACGTGATCTGTATGCAGCTGAAAGACAGTGTCAGGCGGCTCGCTCTCTTCAACCCTGTGGTTTAAGAACACAGCATGTCCAAGAGGAGAAATTGAAGAGAAGCTGCTTCCTTAGCGAAGATGGCCATGGGGGAGGGGGTCCTCCTCTGACCTTTCTGTTTTCAACTTTCCTTCTTTCCGATTAGGAAACCATTTAATTCAGAACGTTGACTCTTGTGAGTTCAGGACGTTCCATTGTTTAAAATGTAATCTAGACATGACGTACTCTAGCGTGCACCTCAGTTCACGTCCTTCTCATCACCCTGTCTTTCCAGGTCTAATCAGAAGCGTCACAGCTGACTCTCACTGGTTCCAGAGTGCGGCAAAATGTCTAAGCAACAGATGCCTAAGTCCTCTGAAAATATTCAGAGTAACACTGTTTTAAAAAAAATCTTCCTTTTATCAAACAAAGAATTCCAAAATTCCACGTAGTGATATATCTTGAAAGAAAGGGAGAATATTTGGAAACTAAGCAAAAGTAGAGCAGGCCACACATAACGACTCCCAAAGTTAATCTTGGGGCGTTGCCAGAATGTGCCTGTCTTTTCTTTCTTTTATCTTTGAACTTAGAGATCCTCTGAAATTGCTGGCAGTTTGCTCCAACATCACATACTAAACTTTGAAGAATATGGAAATATGTGAGCATAAGTTGCAAAATAAATTTGATACCATTTAAGAACAGAGTTCCATAAATTGAATTTACATAAATGTTAAGCTATATACTCAGGCAAAATAAGATGTAGAAGTCAATGTTCAAATATAAAACATAGTTAGCACTACAGATGTAAGATAAAATGACAAACATAAGATATATCTAACTATCTATCTATGTACACACACACACACACACACACACATACACAAAATATGTATCAGGAGTGCTAGGGTGCCTTTATTCTAATTAGCCTCTATAAATCCACATCTTATCTCCTGAGCCACCAATATGGTACCCCATTTTCTCTGTCACATTTGTCTTTAGATCTTATCACTTAGCTTTTACTCAGTGGTTAAACATATGTCATGACTTCATTTCAGCTTGTGCTCTATAAAGGCATTTCTCTGAGAAGCACACTCATAATTTTGACAGAGTATCAGACTTGTTTACCACTTGTGTGAATACAGTTAAATGTTCACTACCTCCTGAGTTCCGACAGAACCTTTTAAAGTATCCACCATTGCAAATTGAGTGTAAAGAAATGTATGACCCCTCTAGTTTTTAAGTTCGACCCAGAAGGAAATGTCACGATTTTAGTAGATAAATGGCAAAATGATTGGAAATTTGTGGTTTTCTAAATGCTAAAATCTGTAATGTAGCCTAAAACATAATATTTAATAATAAGTATAGTCAATAACAAAATTATTTGATTTCCCCTTGCCTCTTACTATGTAAATTTACATGATTTGCTACCCACTTCTTGCATCAAGTATTTAATTACCAATATTAACTTACCTGTTTAATATTAATAATACTAAGAGACCTTCCAGAATTTCTTCCATACAAATATTATAACCTAGAACCCCTGCTAGGATGTAGCCCATGGCAGCTCAGTATCCAAGTGGGTTCCCTAGTTAGGGGAACAGGGACTGGCTCTGACATGAACTCATTAGCTGGCTCTTTGACCTCCCTCCACCCCCTGAGGGAGGAGCAGCCTTGGTAGGCCACAGAGGAGGACCTTGCAGCCAGTCCTGAAGAGACCTGATAAACTAGGATCAGATGGAAGGGGAGGAGGACCTCCCCTATCTGTGTACTTAGAGGGAATGAGGGAGGGGGCTACAGCTGGGACACAAAGTAAATAAACTGTAATTAATATAAATAAAAATAGATAAATAAAAATATAAAACAAATATTATGAATCACTGATTAATAGTGAAACATAAGGAAGTTGAATCAAAGCCATTACTCAACATTAATTTATCATTTATACAGATAATTTAGTTATAGGTTGCACTAAAAAATGACAAAGAAAACAAAAAAAAAACAAAGAAAATAGTTTTTAAAATTAAGTTAGCAGGCTATTTTATTTGCTGGTTTAGGGCTTAACTGTGGAGAATGATGAAAAATAGATAGCATCTTGATGAGTACTAGCCACAGGACATTCTACATATGTATTTATTCTTAGTTTAAAATTTTCTGTCAGTTTAAAGTAAACTCGTATTTTTTTTCTGAACACTCTTATGTTAAAATAACAAATATAATTAATCATATTGCTTAGTGAAAAACTGATTAGAGATGTGAAAAACACATGACATTTAAAAATGATCTCTATATTTGAAATATAAATATGCTGAGATAGTTTTTTTTATCATCCTTAAATATCCACAATAGACTGAGTACTCTAGGATTGGTGAATGGATTAATATACCGCTGTGAAAATTAAAAGATAGTGTTATGAATCTACTCCACTATAAGAAGAAATAAAAGCAAACGGTCATGTGGAATGCAGTGTTCTCGTAATAACCTATCATTTGTATGGAATTCTTCCCCTTGAGTTGTTGCTTTATATGAAATGTTTGAGTCCTATCTATTTCATTACCTCAGTCCAAAGAAAAATGCTTCATAGATATTTTGTTTTAGAACAATTATAGCAATAAGCCATGGTTCTCTGAATGGTCAAAATGGCAGTATTTTATTCTAGGATTCAGAGAAAAGAGACTACATGGTTAAAGACACCAGCTCAAAATGAGACTCAGATGTTTTCTTTCTTTCTGAAAAAGTTTCCAAATTCAGAAATTCTGAACTCCTCTTTTATTTTTCAACCAAGAAATGATAGAAGCATTTCTACAAATCCCTCTTTAAGGCAGATCTTTAAATATGTGTAACCACACAGCTCTCTCAAGAACTCCCATGAAAAGAATCCTATGACCTGAGTTATAAGCAGGATAAAACTTCAAATTCTCTGATTTAGTTTAATTTTTTTTAATTTATTTATTATTGTACGTGCTTGTTCCTGGCTCATTGTGTATTTCATTCACACATACACACATACCATCTTACACATATGCAGAGAGAGAGAGATAGAAGTAAAGATAGACACATAGAGATAGGTAGATAGATGGATGGATAGATGGATGGATAGATAGATAGATAGATAGATAGATAGATAGATAGATGGATGATTGATAGAGTGAAAGATGATAGTGCCAGATGTGTGCATTATAGAGGTCAGAGGACAACTTTCAGAAGTTAATTCCTTTTATTACGGGACTTGGGAATTAGGCCCAGGTCATCTGGCTTGTATACTAAGCATTTTTACTCTTTGCCTATCTTATTGAACTAGATTTCTGCAGTTTTAAGATCTGAGAAAATGTTTTGGAAATAAAATAAAAGATCAAATTACAATACATTTAACATTTTAAATGGATTTATTAATAAATTATATGTAAGTTTGTTATTCACACTCTGAAAGAGTAATGTTAAGCCACTTTCTACGACCTTCAAATGAGTTATTGTAAAATTAGTTATTTTACAGACTTTTAGAATTTATGACATAAAAAGTATACATGATTCACCTGTGATATCTCAGTAATATATCTGCCTAAACAAGTAGTGAACAATAACAAAACCATGCTTATATCTAAGGAGAAAAGCTCATGGTTCCCCATCCTTAGACTAAGCACTATTAGCAATTAGTGAATGCTGAAAGAGGAAGATTTAGTCTTTCTCAGTGATGAGCCCCCTATTGTTTATCCAATATCAAGTTGTTAGCGCTAAACAAGCAACATTTAATAGAATCAGCAGGTTTTATTCATATATTTAGTCACATGTACATGTGTGTAAAACATTAGTAATCAAAGAAAAAGAGGTCATGGATATTAAAGTTAGGGTCACAGGAGAGGTTGGAGGAAAGAAAGAGAAAGTGAAAATGATGTTAATATATTTTAACTTAAAATTTTTAAATTAAAAACTATTCATATTTCATGCATACTTTTTCATTTCTACACATACCAACTGAAATTAAAACAAAGATTGTAAAAGTATCTCATACCTGTCTTTTCTGCTGTAACAGTTTTTACCTGCTTGATAACTTTTTGTTCTGTGATAGGAAAAAAATGTTAATATAAGAAGAAATAAAATATATCAATAGAAAGCAATGATGTATTCGAATTTTGATATTTTGTGTTTGCTTAAATATCAAAATAAAAAAGTTAGAGTTTTCTCAATAAAGAAGCAAACCATAAGTTATTTTAGATCAAATGAAAGGACAAGGAGATGTTTCCAAATGGAGATATTCCTTGTAGCTCTCTTGCTGAATTTTTAAAAATATAACTTGTTTCCTACTCTGCAGGTATGAACCTTGCTTTTTTTCCCTGTGACTTAACAGGGAAAAAAACTGATTTAACAGTGCTTATATCCATAGAGTTGTTGATATATATATGCATTTACATACATGTAATGGGGGGAAACATGGTCTCATGTGGTTCAGACTAGCTTTGAACTTGGTATATACCCGAGGAAGCCTTTGAACCCTCTTGACACCAGCTACCAAGTGTTGAGATTACACCCAAATGCATATTCCTCTGCACCCTGTGGGATCTCATACTGTAAAAATAAAGATGGATCAAACCAAACTGACTCAAATGCACTACATATGTATTTTCTTACATGCAATGTAAAAGTGTAAGCAAATGTTATCCTATCGTTTGTTTAAAAAAAAATATGCAGCCACTCCTGATGAGACCTAATTGACTAGGATCAGAAGGAAGGAAAAGAACCCCCCCCCCCACATCAGTGGACTTGGGGAGGGGCATGCATGCAGAGGGTGGAGGAAGAGAGGGATTGGGACGGGAGGAGGGAGGGAACCACAGGGGGGATACAAAGTAAATAAAGTGTAATTAATAAAGATTTTTTTAAAAAAGAATCTTGCCTAACCAATTCACAGGATTAAGTGGCACTTCTTGGGGTGCCTAGGATGAATAATATTCTACACAGCAACAAAAGGCTGAGGACTCTAAAAAGAAATTTTGTACTGACTCAGCTTAAATAAAAACTAGAAATCTCTATCCTTTAAATAAAATCTAGCTATCAAGTTGTTCTTGTAAATTCTGCATCTTTATCTTTAGAGTGTATTGATTTGATTCTATTTTCTCCAAAACCCAAAAGAAAGGAAGATAGTATAGAGGAGAAGGTGGGGAGATGAGGAAAGAGGAAAAACATGGATTTCCTCAGTGTTCTTGGAACATAGTAGGTCTAAGGTGATAGGAAATAATCTAAAGCATGACTTTTAGCACACTGTCTTGTCTTAAGTAGTAAAAGTCAAATCTGAATGAAGAGCCTTTCCACCTGGGAGCTTACTGGATACTCTTTATGATAAGCCCAGGTCTGCTGGGCAGGGCAGGGCAGGGCAGGCCATCTATTAGAATCCTACCATTGGTCTCTCAGTTAAACCAATACTGGGATGATGACTAAAATTGGAAATGTTCTTTAGAAGCTGAAGGCTGGAAACATGAGTTATCACAGGTGACTTTAGATCTGACTCCATAATCTTCCTTTTGATATAAGCAGAACAATGGCAGATAATTGGATGTGGCAATACCACCTAGGAAATACCTGGTTTACCATGGGGAGCAGCTTGCTCCAGTTTGGTGACATCCTGCTCTGAAAAGTAATAAAACACAATGTTTCAGAAATTTTAGTTTTCTAATGTGTATAACATAATGAATATTCTCTACGGCAGTCATAAGTTGAAAATAACAAATGTGGCAATAGGGAGAAATTATTTTCAAACTTTTATACTATCTTATCTCACATCAAAGACTTAAATGCTTTATTATATTAAAAAAGTACACATAAATCTTTTTATTTACATAGTACCTGTAACTTTCAAATCATGGGCTCTTTGCAAAGAATAAATGTAGAAGCATATATAAGCTTTCCAATTTTTGAAATGGAAAATGCTCTTTAAAGAGATTATATATGAGTTTTACAGAAGAAACTGCTGTACATACTGCGTATTTGGGGCTTCTCAGATGATGCTGAAATGATAAGAATTAATAAATTATCTGATAAATGAAATATTTTAAAACAACTAATCTAAGTTCTAAGTGGTATTAGGTATAACTAGCTTTAAAAAGTCCTCTATTTTTTTAATGCTGGGCCAGTGATATGTTTCAGTAGGTATGTGTACTTGCTGTCAAACCTGATGGATGACTTAAGCTGCTCCCCAGGAACCACATGACGGAAGGAGTGAGACAGTTCCTAGAATTTGTCCTCTGACCACAATTTGCTAACCTTGGCATGAGTATATGCACTCTCTCTCTCTCATCTCTCACTAAATAAACATAACTTTAAAAATTAACATAAAAGTCTGGTATTCAATACTCACCTCCAAAAAACAAAAAAATACCAAAAATAAAACATAAAAATGAACATTAATAAGCTCTGTTGCATGCAAATGTATTATTTGTAAGAACATCCAGACACGAGTTATGATTGGCTGCAAGGTAAACCCCAGTGAGGAGCGGAGCGACATGGGAAAGCTGCACATGCATCTAGGTTTGGAATCTTAGATTGGCTTATAAGAAAAGATTTTGATACATCATGTCTCATCATGAAGGAATGGCTTCCCAGAAGTTTGAGTGCTTTCAAAAACTGGCCTCAGGTCAGTAACTAGTTGGTACCACCACAAGGACTTAATCATGACAGTGTAAACTGAAAAATCACCCTGTTTTTAGGACAACATTACCGGATAATGAAATAATAGGGTTTGTCTGAGATGATTTCTTAATAGAATTAGTTATGGCTTTGAAGAAAATCAGACATGGTTGTTGGTATAATGTTCTTTTGAAATGTATACACCTTACCCTTGTTCATTCAAATGCTGATTTCTCTCCCCCACTCTCTGGTTTCAATCCGAACATTGCATTGTGATACTTTTTCTAAGCATCACCTGTCTCAACTTTGTGTAAACATGACAAAATAAAACAACCAGCCACAAGGTTGAGCAATAGAGAGGAAGGAGTAGGCGGGAGAGGGGAGGAGCCAGAGGACAGGAAAGAGTGGAAGAGAAGGGCAGGAGGGAGCTGGGAGAACAGAGGCAGGAGGAAAGGTCTTGGAACGACGTGAATTGGACCTAATATATCACAAAAAGCAAGTATAATGTGGGAAATCTGAATGGTAGAAATTATGTGGTAGAAACTGACATGATCATACTTGATTTCAAAATACCCAGAAAAATAAATGATATCTTCTGGAGTCATTTCCAAATTTAGTATAAACCAGTGGTTCTCAATCTGTCCATCAATCCACTTGGGGGGGGGGGTGTCACATATCAGATATTTTACATATCAAGTATTTACATTATGATTCATAAGAGTAGAAAATTATAGTTATGAAGTATCAATAAAATGCTTTTATAGTTGGGGTCACTATAACAAGGGGAACTATATTACAGGACCTCAGTATGAAGAAGGTTTAGAACTAGTATAAAGCCAGGTTATAGACATATCTTGGTAACTGGTAATCTGGATTTTACTTGGGTACTGGGAAATATTATTGGACAATAGAAAGAAAATCACAAGGAACTGAGAGACCTTAAGTTGGTTAGTAGCCAGTAGAATTTCAGTATGAGGGAAATATGCATTCTAATACTATTTAACATATTTTACCTGATTTTGCTTCCTTCTTAATTTGTGGCTCTAAAAAGAGAAAGATACAGAAGGAAATAATAAATTAAAGCACAAATTATCATTGCAATTACTTTGTATTCACTCAGCTCCTTAGAAAATGAGGAATTTTCTAATAATTAATCCATATTCATGGTGCTTTGTTAAGGAAGAAATATTGAACACAGTAGTTAGAGACTCACTATACCCCTGTCTGTCATTAAGCTGTTGTTTCAAAATGTGCCTCGGGGAAACAGATAGTTGAAAGTTTATTTAAATCTAAATTATCTCCTTAGTTTCAAGCTGCTTAAAAGAAATATCTCCAAAAAAACATTAGACAATTCATTCCAACAACAAAATTAGAAGAGATTGTTTGAAATAAATATAATTAATATGTGGTTAATTTAGAAATTCAGGCACATACTATTATGGTTTGATTGTATCCCCCAAGGACAGGTTGAGTTCCCAGCATCAATACCCTCAAAGTGACGTTATTTGGTAATTAGGTTCATGCAGATGTAATTAATTAAGATGAGGTGCAACCTTGTTAGGATCAGGTGAGTCTTCATAAGAGATAGAGAGGAAGAAGGTTGACATGTGGCAATGGAGGCAGAGATTGAAGTGATGAATTTAAGTGCCAACGAATGCATAAATCCATGGTAACCACTAAAGAAGAGTCAAGGAGGACATTTCCACTAAGCTGGGAAAAAGAGTGGCTCAGAATTGTGGTGGAACACACTCGTGTAGGAAGCAGTTTGAAGTGTCTTATTCCATTCATGGAAACTCACAGATTGTATTAGGTAGTGGAATACTGCTGTAGCAATTGCAGGTATGGAACTAGTCTGTGGAAGACATAGTGGGGTGATACTGGGAGTTTTTTAAATACTTGAAAAGAGTGAACCTGGAATGCCTTGAAGAGGCTAATGCTTCCTTAATACTGACATTGCAGACAGTTTTTCAGATAATTAAGAAATAGTTGAGCATATACTAGTGTTCCAGTGAGTTAAGTATGTCACATGTGCCTACGACTCCTTGTATTATCTTCTAACTCTTACTTTCACCCGACCCTTCTCTCCTGGCTTCCCAGACTGGATATTGTAGAGATCCAAACAAAATCTCTTCTGTTTTGTTTTAGGTTTTTGTTTTGTCTTTTGCTTTGTTTGTTTGTTTCTAGAATAGCAAAAAAAAAAAAAAAAATCACACAGTGAGCAATAAATATGGAAAAGAAACCCACTCTTCACAGGACTGAATAGTAAAGGCCAAGACAAAAGGCAGTTCTTGGCACATTCTAACAGGGTGTCTTGCCACTGTGTCCTCTAGAGAGGAGGGGCATTGTGTCACCACGCCACAGAAGGTAGGAAAAGATAAGCATGCTAGGGAAGGCAGCCGAAACTGCCTTCATAACAGCCTGATTTCATACTTTAAATAGGATCCTTCACTGTCTAATCTCCAGTTTGTGGCCCATCTCCTCATCTGTCACTTTGATAATACCTGAGCTTTGAAAGAATACATTCAAACTAAAGTGTGTTTACTTCTGTGAATTTATACTGCATGCTGCTTGGAACAGAGATGCTAAAGGGGGCTCTGTTACTTTTCCTCAGAAAATGTGAAGCACTCTTGGACACTGGAGGGAAGAAGATGTTTGGAGAACAGTGTATTTTTTGAAAGACAAAGAACATCAATGAATTATGACACTTCCCCTTAATATGAAACCACTAATGAAACAGACATAAGATCAAATGAGGAAATGGATGATAGTGTGGAGCCTATCCTAAAGGACAGAAACAGAGTGAATATTCTCAAGAAATGAATTAAAACTTGTTTATCTATCACCCCTTAGTAATGACATCGAGATCAGAGATTAAGTGAATTGAACAGGTAGAAAATAGTAGATGTTGGAGTAATAAATATTTGACAAAGTATGGTATCAGTGTATTTTGCACATAGAAAGACATGAATTTAGGCAGGATAAGGGTCAGGCTTCAATAGAATAAAGTATACTCTAAAACCAAAAAGTATGGTTTAGTCCTAATCTCCAATACATCAAAAATGTTATAGTTGAAACATGCTTCTTGCAGATGTAATTAGGATGTAACAATGTGGGTGTAGGTAGGTCCTTCACTGACTGTGACTTGTGTTCTTAAGAGGAAAGCAACTGAGACAAAGATGCCTATGAAAAAGATGACCATGTAACCATTGAGGTAGAACTTGTTCTATGTTCAAAAGAAAAAGAAAAAAATAAAGGCATAGCAAGAATGCTGGTAAGCATTAGCAGTCCAAAAAGGAAAGGATGTATTCTTCTTGATGGGTTTCAAAAAGCAAAACAAACAAACTAACTAAAAGCATGGCTCAACCCACTCCTTGAATTTGTGTTTTTAGATGCGAGTAATGAAGAAGTAATCCTACGGTTACTGAAGTAATCCAGTTTATGGTTTTATAACAGCAATTCTCCAGCACGAGTGTATTCAACAAAAATGAACCAAATTTTTAACAGTTTTCATAGTCAGTAGCTTTGGATTCTTTTGAAAAAAATTCTGCTGCATACTTCCAACTATGGAAGTGTTCTAACTCAGGCTGGAAGAGAGGTATGAAGACAGATATTTATCTGATGGGAAGTCTGTACCTCCAAACTTCAGAGAAGAGGTTGTTGAACTGTAGAAACTTCTTATAGTTTTCATGTGTATGCTAGTATATTTTTCTAGAAATTGATATCTTAAATGATGCATAGCTTTGTTGTTTTCTTTTTCCCTCAATGAACAAAAAAAAAATATGTCTTTCTAATTATCCAAGTACATTTTTGATCTATGTAAATTGATAACCTAGAACTGCAACAAAGTCAGAAAGACAGTGGGGTTTTTGTTTGTTTGTTTGTTTTTTGTTTTTGTTTTGTTTTTTTAATAGGAGATTAATAATCTTGCTTATAGAGAATTGTTGTTTTGGACAGGAGCCTACCACAGAGGGCTGTTGAAAGACTTTACCCAGCAAGGTATCAAAGACTCATAGCCAAACTTTGGGCAGAATGCAGGGAATCTTATGAAAGAAGGGGGAAATAGGAAGACCTGGAGAAGAAAGGAGCTCCACAAGGAGAGCAAGAGATCGAAAAATTCTGGGCACAGGGGTCTTTTCTGAGACTGATACTCCAACCAAGGACCATGCATGGAGATAACCTAGAACCCCTAGAACCCCTGCACAGATGTAGCCCATGGCAGCTCAGTCTCCAAATGGGTTCCTAGTAATGGGAACAGGAACTGTCTTTGACATGAACTCAGTGGCTGTCTCTTTGATCACCTCCCCCTGATCATGGAGTAGCTTTACCAGGCCACAGAAGAAAACAATGCAGCCAATCCTGATGAAACTTGATAGGCTAAGGTCGGAGGAAGGAGGACCTCCCCTATCAGTGTACTTGGGAAGAGGCATGGGAGGAGATAAGGGAAGGAGGTTGTGGCAGGGAGGGGATGAGGGAGGTGGCTACAGCAGGAATACAAAGTGAATAAACTGTAATTTATAAATATATAAATAAATTTTTAAAAGTGAAAAAAAGAATTGTTATTTTACTTTTTAATGTTTTGGATAATATTTACCATAACATTTCAAACAGATGTGATATTCATTGTAAATACCGAATGCATTCATGAATTTATACATTAAAATACATACCTGACTTCTCTTCTTTTTTCACATGTGGCTCTAAAAATATAAGTAATAATAGTTACACAGTCATATCAATATCTTTTCTGCACATACATTTATTGTATATACCATCAATTTAATTTTAATATGTCATATTTTAATCAACTATATTTTCTTTGTTGCTATGGCAAAATAAGAGATACAGACAAAGGCCTTTACTCTCAATCACATGAATTATTATTATAATTTATAATAATCTATTCACTCTGTATGCCAGCTGTGGCTCCCTCCCTCATCTCCTCTCAGTCCCACCCACCCACAATCTTCTCTCCTTATACCCCTGCCCTAGTCCACTGATAGGGAAGGACCTCCTCCCCTACTCTCTGACCCTAGCCTATTACATATCATCAGGACTGTCTGGATCCTCTTTCTCTGTGGCTTAGTACAGCTGGGATACAAAGTGAATAAGATGTAATAATAATTAATAATAATAATAAAAATCTAAGCCTCCCCAAAAAGATTTATTGTGAGAAAAAAACTGGAAACATAAGCTTCCTCTTTTAGTGGCAGTGCTAAGGGAGATGGCTGTATTTCCAGTGAATAAAGAATAGAGGGAAATTTCAGCATAGCATAGTGTTAGAAATATAGTTAGATAACACGCACATAATAAGAAAGCAATCAGCTTTCAGCAAAATATTTAAAATGTGCTCAGAAAGAGAGATGTAAAAGCCATGCACGTAACACTTGTCATTTACTAACTTATTTATTCACTCATTGGACATGCACATAACATACGTGGTGGTTTAGGCTGTACATCTTTGCCTATGAAAAGTTGAAAAAAAATAAAGATTTTAGTCATGTAATGCTTATTGAATCATTAATACTCAGTATTTTAGAATGTCAGATATATCTCAAAAGAAAAATAAAACAATATAGACTTAATCTAGCCTTCTTTGCTGAGTTTCTATAACATTTTTTTTATTGCTCATGATAAAGATTCTATTTGATGATTCACTTAAATTATAGTACTCTTAGTGTAATTACATTTGTTAATGAAATTGGAATGTTCACCAACATTGGTGCAGTGTTAACTTTCTATATAAAGTTAAGAGAAAAAGCACACACTATTTAACTTCGACACCCACTAATTCTTAACCCACCATTGTGGTAGATGAAGAACCCAAAGATTTTAAGACTTCAATAGAATTATTAGTGTGTTATATGCCTTCAGTGATTTCTGCTGACTTGGAAACTCTTACTGAGTAGAATAAGTGCTCGCTGGGCAGTGTAAGGGTTAACAAACTTCTGTAGAGAGTCAGGTAGTCAAGATTGTCAGGTTTTAGGTCCTTATGTCCCACACATCAACAGTTTTAATGTACTAAAGGATTTTTGGAGGAATATATTAAATTATTAATAAAGCAATTTCTGAATTTCTCATCACCTTCAATATGATAAGTACAAACACTATTCTGCAATGTCCAATGTTTATCTTTTATTGAAGTGTTTAAAATATGAATATTAAAGTAAAAAAGCTAAAGTTTCATGTGCACGTGGAAATGAAATGTTCACAAGTTTATTGACCATACTTATAATATGAGTAATTATTTTTCCTTGCTTTAAAAAACAAAATAGTGTTTTCAAAAAAGTTGGGGTTTATTAACACTTAATTTAAGATAATTTAGGCAATTAGGACACAATTTGAGAATCATTAAATTTATGAACATAACATCATTTTCTGCATATTAAACATGAGGGTACTTTCTCTGAAAGAACTGCTAAAGGAATTTTATTAAAAGTATCATTAAATAAGTTAATTAAAGTTAAATAAAAGACATTAATATTGAATAAATAACAGGAATGGAATCTTATAAATTTTACAACACATAGTAACAGATTTAGGAATCATTTGGAATAGATATTTATGGTTTTATAAAATAAAAAAAAACATACACCTGTTTGTGAATCATCCAGGCTATGCCAACTGTTTGTGTGTCAAGAAAGAAGCCCTATCAGTCTACATCCATTCTTAAGGATTTCCAAATGCAGTTCCCAGAACAATACCATTGTATAGGAAGCTCACCCAACATATGCTCAATAAGAAATGTTGGCTAAGATGCTCAATCCTCATTCAAAAAGGCAAAGAGGATAGACATCAGAAGAGGGATCAAATAGGGAACAGGAGAGGAGCCTACCACAGAGGGCATCTGTAAGACTCTACCCATCAGGATATCAAAACAGATGCTGAGACTTATAGCCAAACTTTGAGCAGAGTGCAGGGAATCTTATGAAAGAAGTTGGAAATAGTAAGACCTGGAGAAGACAGGAGTTCTACAAGGAGAGCAACAAAACCAAAAACTCAGGGCACAGGGGTCTTTTATGAGATTGATACTCCAACCAAGGACCATTCATGGAGATAACCTAGAACCTCTGCATAGATGTAGCCAATGGCAGTTCAGTGTCCAAGTGGGTTCCCTAGTAATGGGAACAGGGACATGAACTGATTGGCCTGCTCTTTGTCCACCTCCCCCTCAGGGGGATGCAGCCTTACCAAGCCACAGAGGAAGACAATGTAACAACTCCTGACTGAGACCTGATAGGCTAGGGTCAGATGGAAGGAGAGGAAGACATCTATCAGTGAACTGGGGAAGAGGCATGGGTGGAGAAGAAGGAGAGAAAGTGGAATTGGGAGGGGAGGATCGACAGGGCTACAAAGTGAATAAACTGTAATTAATAAAAATTTTAAAAAGAAAAATAAATAAAAAAGAAATGTTGGATAGTGACCTCAAAGTTTGTCAGATGGTTTATCTGACAAAGCTTTATCAGATGGTTCTGATGAATAAATAGATTGCAAACTTTTATCCCAAAGAGGTATTAACAGTATTTGTGCTGTGCTATGATAAACTGTGTGTTGATGCCACACATGGCTATGCATTGGAATTTGTTGATAATCTCTGTTTAGAGTAAATAGAAAAAGGAAAATAAAGATGTCTTGTTGATGGAATCTCACCAGGAAAACGTAAGATTTGATGATCTCACATATTCAGTTAAGATAACATTGACCAAGTCTAAAAAAATCTATGAAAAGGCACAGGTGAAAAAAAGGCATTCATATGCCACTGAGTATAACACACACACACACCACACACACTCACAAACACTTACATATGTATGTATATGGCCTAAGTGGATGCGTTAGATGAGGTTCGAGTTTAGGCAGCAGTGTAAAGGAGGGCATGTGGAATGTTTACTGGAGAAAGAAATTTATGAGGCAGTAGTTCTCCAGCAACAGTAACATACTTGAAGGAAAGTGTGTCAATCAACACTTCTGTGCCTGTTGTTGGTGTCTGTAGACTTCACAGAGGAGGAGGCATTTTAATTTTGTTTCTCCATTGTCAGTTTGCTAAGCACCTCTGGGCGCTATCAGATCTAGTCCCAGGTGTCATGGGTAGAGTTTTACCAAGTCAGTTCCAGCTCAATTCCTCCAAATGATGTGTCTGAAATGTGCTTTGTCTCTAGCACTTTTGTTTTCTTTTCAAGGCTGGAGGCAACCATTGGCAACAGCAATACCCTATATGGTTTGAGGAGTTTCTTGAACTCTCCTGACCAACAGCTCAAATGTTGTTTCTCTGGCCTGCTGCCAGAGTTTTTGTAAAACAGTCAATGGTTCTTGAGTGGAATATTATTTCCTAAAGTAGCTTAACTTAATTTAAATTATTTAATATAAAATATATGCATGCATACAAATTGTGCTGGCTGGTTTTGTGAATCAACACTACACAAGCTAGACTCATCAGAGAGAAAGAAGACTTAGTTGAGGAAATGCCTCCATGAGATCCATCTGCAAGGCATTTTCTCAATTAGTGATCAATCGGGGAGGGCCCGGCCTATTGTGGGTGGTGCCATCCCTGGGCTGGTGGTCCTGGGTTCTAAACCAAAGCAGGCTGAGCGAGCCGTATGAATCAGGTCAATAAGCAGCATCCCTTCATGGCCTCTGCGTCAGCTCCTGCCTCCAGGTTCCAGCCCTGTTGTGACTTCCCTCAGTGGTGAACAGCAATATGGAAGTATAAACTGAATAAACACTCTCTCTCCCAACTTGCTTTTTGATCCTGGTGTTTTCATTACAGCAATTGAACCCTAACTAAGACAAGTTTCTACTAATGTAGTGGGATATTGCACTGATAGACATAACCATGGTTTTTTTGTTTTTGTTTTTTTGTTTTTGTTTTTGTTTTTTTTTTTTTTTTTGGAAGAATTGTAGAAGGAATTTGGAACTTTAGGCAAGAAAAAAAATCATCAAGTGTTGAGCCATCAGTTGGATGATTTGTAGGAGTTTGGAAGAAAAGAATGTTGAGAGCAGTGCAGAAGATGGAGGCATGCCTTGTGAAATTTTGGGGAAAGAAAGATTTTATCAGGGCCATTTGCTACTTGACTTCAGATTCTGAGGTTCTGTTTAGTTGAGGCTGACAAATCAAGTGCGATTAACAAAATATCATAACTACTAAAGTGAAAGCTTTATAATACTGGAATAATTGATGCTCGTTAGCTCAAGCTAAGAAGACACCAGCATCAATGAGGTGACATCTTCTGGGAAATGTTTTTATGAGAACACAGAGATGCTGTGTTCCAGAGGCAGTGAAAGTTGTACCTCGTGCTAGCCGCTGGACTTGGTAATGTATAAGAATCACCCACGTGGTACCAGTTTTGAAGGCATGAAGGGGTCATGGAGAGCAGCTGAGGCTTCGCACTATGACACCAGGAGAGGTCACTATCAAAGGTGGACCCTCAGTGGCAGTTGAGAGCCCAAGACTGGGGGGCTTATGCAGAGAAATTGACAGTTGGTACCGTGAAGAGATCCTGTGAGAGGCTATTCGTGAAAGTGCAGCCTAGTTATGGCAGAAGACCCCATCATATTAGAGTTGCCAGTACCATGGGATTGACACCAAGAAGAGCAGCAGCAATGGAGTGGAATCAGCTAGAGCCTAGAAAACAACTGTGTTTGCTACAGTGGGCAGAACTGGAGAAGTGATCCACACTCTTTCTAGGAGCCCATAAGATCGTAGTGGGTTCCAGACATTGGACATAAAGTTGTTTATATAAGTTTGGTTTTGCTTTGGTTTGATTGTGACTGTTCCATGATTTTTTCACCCTTGACCTAAGAAATTATTTAATTTTGATTTTTACAAGAGTCCACAGCAGAAAGACTGAATTTATAAAGAAATCTTGGATTATTAGAGTAGATATTTTAAAGAAATTGAAATTGCAAGGTGCTTGAATTTGTAAGGACTGTGGGACTTTTAAAGTTATTCATAGTTTTACTATGAGATCTTGGAGATGAATAAGAAAAGAATGATTGAGGCTTAATCATGATGTGTTTATGTGTCAACTTGACAAAGGGTCAGTGGTGATGATTTGTTTTGTGTATCAAGTTGACACAAGCTAGAGTCATTAAGCTAGGAGCCTCAGTTGAGAAAATACCTCCACAAGATCCAGCTGTAAGGCATTTTCTCAATTAGTGATCAATAGGGGTGGGCCCAGCACATTCTGATTGGTGTCATTCCTAGGCTGATGGTCCTGGGTTTGATAAGAAACCAGGCTGAGCAAGGCATATGAAACAAGTCAGTAAGTAGCACCCTTCCATGGCCTCTGCACCTGCTTCTGCCTCCAAGTTCCTGTCCTGGATGAGTTTCTGTCTTGAGTTTCTTTGGTGATGAGCAGTAATGTGGAAGTTGAAGCTGAACAAACACTTTGCTCCCCATCTTGTTTTTGGTCATGGTGTTTAGTTGCTGGAATAGAAACTCTAAGATACACACACACACACACAC